CCCATTCCGAATTCTCCAGTCCACGACATTGAGTTCAACAGCAGCAAACCACTTCTACAGCCAGTGCCACCCAAAGAGTCCAAGACATTTTTGAGGTGAGCCCCACCTCGCCAATGTTTTTTTTCCCTCACTTTTTTAAACTTGGATATTTACCTTCTTGTGTTGCAGAAACCCACTCCTGTAAGGAAAGCCTAGGGAAAGAAACATCACTGTGAAATGTCTTTCAATATTTATCACCTCTCTAGAGAACACCTTTCTTAACTCTATTGAAAAGATTTTTTTCCAATTACCAGCCTCCAATTGTCTACATGCTTGAAGAGGTGCTAATTAAAATGCTTAAAATCTTGATATTTATGAAAAGCTGCTGCTTAGTATTATCACTAAGTTTCTTACTAAAAAATCCAAATTTTTTAAAACTTTAACATTAAAAAATTATTAAGGAGTTTTATTTTTTTCTTACATGTGTTCATTTTTCCTTTCTTGATTTTAGTCTTATTTATAAACATACTCGATGTATATGCAAAATAAAATATTTGTAAACTCTGGGAACAATGATATACTTAAAGAAAGATTAAATTTAGACATGAAGTTTGTCTTAAGACAATTTTCTTACCTAAGAGTTATTGATTAAATGTATTAACTAGTAAATTTCTAAAGAAATGCATTTGGCTAATCATTAGATCATAAGAATAAAAATACTGTTATTTCATACTAATCTAACTTGCTGAATTTTACTGATTTAAGTTTAGGAATTTTTTTAATTATTACTAAATCACTGCAATATCACTAGCAATAATATTATATGTAGAAAATCTCTTTTTTGGCTAAGAGTTTAACATAGTTAATGACTAATTATTTAAAACAGTTAAAAATAGAAAGATGGAAATATACTCACATGCACCTTTAAATGTGTCTACTGCTAAATATTTTGTGTTGCTTATTTTCCCTTGTGCATGAGTATGTTCAGGTATCAGTAAGATGCATGTGCATGAGCTCAAGAAACGTGGCTACTGGAGTCCCCATTACACATGTTGCGTGCCTTGTAATTTCCCCCAGAGACGGTAGGGGTCCTTTTGTTTCCTCACATAGCCCACAGATTCATTAGTTATAACTAAGATAAGTATGGGGTAAAGGACTGTGAAGGTGGAAGGGGAAAATGGATTTTTAATGCACCCTTTCCCCTATCATATTGTTATGGAATTATGAAAGCTTAATATTAGTATATGTAGAGTAAAAATACTATTTCTAAATATACACACACACACATGTATTTATACACCTTTGTTTAGTCACCTACTTCAGTTATGTGTAAGGCTGCATCTGTAAGAATCAAATGCTTGTGAACAGATTCTGAAATTTTAAAATTAAATTGAAGGGAAGAGATGCTGGAATAAAGGAACATTATTGTATTCTCTCACTTTGTATTCAGAGAAGGGGGCGTTGTTTGCCGCAGTCATTTCTAGTCTTTTTATTTTTGTCATTGGGTTGGCCCTGTGGGGCTCCTCTCTCACCGACTTCAGCTGAGCAGCCACTGTGCTCTCAGCGCTCACGGGGTGCAGCCTGGACTCCAGTTGAGAGGAGGCAGCAGGGCTTTAATGTGGCACAGTTCTAGAGTCGACACTGATGTTTTCTGTGTTAGTATAACTCAAGTATTCCTCAAGACAGCTTAATGCTGGGTTACATGTCTCTCTCTCTGTGAATTCAGTCCTCCTCAGAGTGAAGCTTCTCCGGTGGCTTCTCCAGATCCCCAGCGCCAGGAGTGGTTTGCCCGGTACTTCACATTCTGAAAGGATTGTGT